AGAGAGGGGGAGTTATCTGAAAACTTTAATTCCCTAAGTAAACATTAAGGATGAAGGCGCCTAGATCTTGTGTAGACAACATATCGTAACAAAAAGCTGGCTATAGTGCAATTAAAAGGTGGCATCAACGAGAAAGCTTCCCTGTGGCTTTCACTGTCAAGTTTCACAATCAGCCATAACCCCGAGGATAACTCAGCAACAAACACAATTAAGACAGACAAAAATTTAGGAGACGGTATCAGATACGCCACTAGTGTCGGTGGCGAGCCATATCCTTTAAAGTCTCGAGCCAAGCAAAAGTGAGCACACCGTGAACCAGTAGCCAAATGGGTAGGGGTTTCGGCTACTATTGCAATGTTCGAGGGACCGAGACCTGCTGTCTCCACCTGAAGGGAAAAATTACATCGAAACGTAACCCGGTAGTCAAAGGTGTAGGTGTTTCGGCTAATATTCCAATTTTCGCGGGATCGAGGTACGCTGCTTCTACCAGATGAGATGAAATTACATCAAAACGCGTCATGGTTTTGCAATGTTTTCTGGTGGGAAACAACAAATTCCGATCTGTTTTGGGTACGGTCCCAGTGATTGTAGTGACTAAGGTTCGCTTCAATGTGAACCGCATTTCATTAAACTTTGACATGGCGCGTCGCCATCCAATCGTAAATCGTGTAATCCACAAAGGACCCATCAGTTAGACATTTACCGTTGTGCAAAGTGTTGCCAACCGTTATGCGGTCAACAAATGGCGTAGGGGATTAGGATACTTTACAAATTTTCGCGGGATCTATGCATGCGCTGTCCACCTGGTGAAGCGAAATTACATCGGAACGCGTCGTGGATTTGCAATGTCTTCTGGTTGGTAACACCCAATTCCCGTCTGCTTTGAGTTCGGTCCCAGTGATCTCAGTGAATAAGGTTCAATTCAATGTGAACGACAGTCCATTACATTGAAGTTGCGCGTGGCAGTCCAATAACAAAACTTGTAGTCCCGCCTTCACTAACCTATCAGTCATTTACCCTTGTACCAAGAGTTGCCCACCGTGACCCGGTAGCCAAAGTAGTAGAGGTTTCTGCTACTAACTAAGGTTCGCGTGATACAAGCCAGCTGCCTTCATCTGATGAGATGAGATTACATCGAAACGCGTCGTGGTTGTAAAGTGCTTTTGGGTGGACAACACCAAATTCTCATCTGCTATGAGTTCGGTCCTAGTGATCGCCGTGACTAAGGTTCACTTCAATGTGAACGGTAGTCCATTATATCGAAGTTGCGCATCGCTGTCCATTCACACAACGTGCAGTCCAATCTTGACCATCCAATCAGTCATTTTCCGTTTTGATAAGCGTTGCCCAACGTGACCCGGTAGCCAAAGGGTTAGAAGTTTCGGCAAGTATTCCAGTGGTCGCAGGATCGAGCCCGCTCACTCCACCTGATGAGATGAAATTACATTGGAACTCGTCGTGGTTGTGCGGTGTTGTCTGGTGGGCGAAACAAACATCCTATCTGCTTTGTGTCCGGTCACATTGGTCGCATTGACTTTTGTTCACTTCAACCTGAACCACAGTACGATACATGTAAATGGAGCGTCGAAATCAGAGCACACATAGTGTAGTAAATGCTTGAACCCCAAATTGTTATTTGCTGTTCTGCGCAGCGTTAGCCACCGTGAACAGGTAGCCAAAGTGTAAAGGTTTCCGCTATTATTTTAACGGTCGGTTGGTCGATGCCTGCTGTCTACACCCGATGAGATTAAGTGACATGGAGAAGCGCCGTTGGTTTGCAGTGCATTCGGGTGGGCAAAACCCAATTCCCATCTGCTTTTATTATGGTCCCAGTGATCGCAGTGACTGAGGTTTACTTCAATATGAACCACAGTCCATTACATTATTGCTCGTCCCCGTCAAATCACACCATGATTAGTCCAAACTTGACCCCCAATATATTACCTGTTTTTGTAGTTTTTCCTACATCTACACTGACCATGGTTCCCGCTTTAATTCCCTGTTCTTTTTCTATATTGCAGCTATTTGACGGCAAACGTTTTCGAACCAATGCTGTTCATCTACTGTAACCGTTCTTCTTAATATGTTCGAGCCTTTCCTTAAGTAACCTTCCCTACACAACTTTAGATATTCACGAGTATTTCTGAAACTTCTGGGATGTCTTTTGATATATGCTAATTTCTCACAAAGATCCTTTGGAAAATATCGCTAGAAACGTTAGCTAGATTTGTTGAAAATATAGGTTCCCAACCCTCCAATTCAATGGTTTCTCCGCCTATACCAAATATATTCGTTTCCGATACAATGGAACCCTTTATAGACGGATCGACGGCCTTCCCATGGGAGGTACATTAAACCCATTTTTGGCTGCAGAATATACAAAAATTTATGATAAGCAGCTAGAGGACAGTTTGTCTTCTTTGACAAAAATAATCATACGGTATACCTACCAGAATAGAGAAACATGTGCCATCCTGCGACCACGCTCACGATAATAAGCGAAATTAAAGAATCCGTTTATTTTAAAATGATATTTTACGCATGAAGACAAACACTACTATAGTTTGGTCTGTATACAAATTTCTTCAGCTTTGCTCTCCGGATAAAATCGACAGTGAACAGGAACGCGTCAAGTCGCCAACATATAAAAGGGATGCACAGAGCGATTCATAAGAATTTACGCAGAACGGCAACCCATAGATAATATGGTACTCTTAACAAAATGGCAACTATTAAGCTGCGGATTAAATAGGATTAAATTAACTGGAGATGTCGGTGTCGTCTCCGCCAATCTGCTAACAATTGTTGGTACGTGGCTGCGCCAGTGGTAATTTAGTAACTCACATATTTTCTGTGCAGATCCAAGCTGTACTCAAAAGACTGCGTTACACATATGCGGATTCAACTGTAAGTGGGGCTCAAGTATACCGGCAGATCTGAGAGAATGCTGACGGCAAGTAATGCAGAACAAATCCAGCGTTGCATGGTTGCAAGTAACAAAGAGAAACCCACTAACACCATTGTCACATGCTCTGTGTGCCGAAATCCAGGTGTAGCCTTGCATTTTCTAACCAAACAATGCAACCGATGCCTACTACATTTCCTTGGATCATCAGTTAGTCGGCATTTAAAATCACGATTGTCCAGAGACAGAGAGAGAGGTACAGTGTCCAATCTAACTCTTTCCTGGTCAGCTCAGTGATCTTTTTGTCATCTGACCGGAGCTAGGTGAACACAGTGGCTTTCAGCTGAGTTAACTTGCATTATAATATCGCAGTTTGATGGTTTTTATAGACTTCATATATATTCCACAAATTTCTGTAAATGGATTATTTGAAAATGCAATATATCTGGATTCAGTATATCTTGTGAAAGCTAGATACGTTTTGTGACACTCATTCGTATAACAACCTGAACGTGCCCTTTTTTACTTGATTATTCCTAACCTTGGTTCTCCTCTCAGCTTCTTCTTTTATCCACCTAGTAAAGCAACCAATATATTCTTCACATTATCCTGCCAACATCATGGGAATTTCTATGGTTTGCTACTCGTGATAAATTGCCGCAGCTGCATATTCATGCAGCTTAATAATGCCATTAATTCCCAATTTTATTTCCAGCGCATAAACCTCATGCTTGAATTCATTTTTGGTTTGAGCATCATTGTATGCTCTCTGTTAGTAAAGAGCATGATCCTTAATCTTCGGTTGATCTGTATACTAGCATACTTGTTCCCAAAGCTGGCATAAATGCATAATCATTATCATTATGACACACGTTAGATTGAGGCTCGGTTCCGCTACATACCGAAATTCCCCAAAGACTATCCAGCGTAAGCTGTATAATATTTATATAGTGCATTATATATATTGTGGTCTAAACAGGAGCGCCTACATTCCTATTACAGTACGGTTCATTCACAAAGACGTCCTATGATGCTATCGTCTGTTGTTTTTATAGCGCTATATCGCATAGTCTCAGTTGCAGCAATATATGCTATGTAGGGTGAGCAGTGTGAGCACTTATTTACCTTTGTTACACCTCGTTCGTCAAACCTTTTGATAATCAGTCCGTTTATACTGTAATTTCCTCACTGTTTAAGATGTATTATTTCCCCCTCTAACTTGTCTGACAAGGAATCATGGTAGGCGGGCTATTCTTCTTACGCCATAGCCTTGGTAGACCAAGGTCGTCTAGCTATTTCTCGTTAAGGGAGGACATAATTTGAGGAATTAGAACACCAACCTGAGGTCACGTACTACGCGGCATTTACTTGAGCGAATCATGGTTTGCTTGTTTCCGCTTCCAAATGTTACCAACATGGGGCTAGGGCACACTAAACACCACTCATCAAACATCATTTTGAACAGAAATTTGTTGCGATGGTACAAATTCATCCTAGATTCTTGATAAGTGCTTCATAGTGTGTACAACTGCATTAGGTCAATTGATTCGCATTGACGATGGAGGACTGGAATGCACACTACTATCGCGATTGCTGCTTAATTTAGTTTTCTAAATGCAAGCACGCCACGATTTTTATGGCACGATGTCTTCAGTAGAAGTACAGCCTACACTACGACCTAGGTGCGATTAGGTCGCCATGCACAATCTATCTTAAATATTCGATTTACTTTATAGCGGACCTCGGTTATTAGCATCAACAAGCCTGGACCAGAAGTGATAGGTTCTCTGTGTTGCACCTCCTTGCAACCTCCAAAGTACTGGGCAAGTCTGTGCAGAGAATGTATTCTGGTAACATATCACAGGTTACTCGGCATGCACGAAGAATAAATGCTTGTCAATATTTGTAGTAGAAAACTCTCGCGCGACCCTACACATGACCTCAGGAGAAAGAACCAGCCAGTTAAAGCCGAAGCAGTAAAAAAGAACTTTTGTTGACAAAATTGCAGTCTATATTAGAGGAGAAAATCAATTGCTTTCAAATATTCATTGGACACGTTTTTCGATGCACTCATTTGAGTTTGTTGGAAATACCGTTAGCGCGAATCTGCAAAATTTAGACACAACGGATGATAAAACAATGACATCAGAAGGCAACATATATTTCTACGTATTCTCAACGGTGGATCATTCAGACTATAATTAATAGCAATCCGTGTTTATATTCAAGATATTGGGTCCCTTTTAGTACTCGTGTGGAAGGCGATTCGCATTAACAGATCCTCAGTTAAATCAACCACTGGGGCCGTAACTGATGAAGCTGGCATGTGTTGCACACCCGAAAACACTGCACTGCATGACAGGCTTCAAACTAATTTATCCCCTCAGGTAGAGATCGAAGAGACTCAAAATCGGAGCCCATTGGCTGTCAGCCAAAGCTAAAACCACTTTAGCCACAGGTTCACGGCAGGCAAAAGTTGCCCCACAGACTAATGACTGACAATTGGGCCATTTTTAACCATTGGTTGCGCGAATGTATTACGATTCAAAATCTGGTGAACAATGTTCAATATTCATTTGCTAAAGCAGTAGCATTTAGACTGGATTTTAGCTTGCATCACTTGCGACCTAATCAAAAGCATTGCGCTATATCAGCGCACATTAACCTTCCGCCAAATGTGGAAGACAAAACGACAATTGGTCTTGTAATTTAGTTGCACAACCACTGGTAAAAGAATACCCCAGTGTATTACGAAAACAGTATAATTTGATTTTAATTTGGGCACAGAAAGCATACGCCTTTGAATTTAGGAAAAATAAGTTGAACTGGTTCAAACTAATTGCCGGCAAGCTCTGATATGTACTTGACTTATGTTATCTTAATGCCAGAATTCATACCGGTATTGGGAGGAATTCTGGAAGCAGCTATATCTATTCTAACAGATCATTGCCAGTAAATTCAGGTGGAGAGATAATTTACGACTTCTTCCCGTTCATTATTTCTGTCGTGGATATAACTAAAGCATTACTTGCTGTCACAATTAAGTAGCCAACTTACTAGTTAAAAGCTCACTCACTTTGAGAAACATCCGCCAAACGATCGATCAATAGCACATATGTGTTCATTGTTTTGAACGAGTCTGATAAAAGATGAGAGGTGCACACATCAGTTGCAAAATAATTTTAACTGATCCCTATACGTCGAAGCCATTTTGTTTCTCGTAGCGAAAAGTGAATTTGCAATGCCACGTTGTGAACCAACGTACATACTGATTTTGGCCCTATTTAAGTCGCTGAGCTACCCTGGCTTGGAACCACGAACATGTCAGAGATAAATTGAGAAGCATTGTGTTGTTTTACCTCTTAAGTCCACTTGGTTTACTGACCACTAAGCAGTAAAATTCTGATAGTTTTGCTTAGACAACTTATTGTAGTTCATGCAATTGAAGCTACACGTAGTGTTTGGGAATATGAATATCAGGCAGATGTTGATCGAGGTAGTTTCATTTTACTGAAGTTGGCAGGGAGCTAGATTATTTGATGACAGAAAAGAAAGCTTTTCAAGCCTATTGCGACTCATTAGTCGTTATCGAATCATAAATGGAGGCCAAATATACTATTGGAATAAGAACATTCATCTGGTTGTATAGACACATGTATATATATATGTAAATGTTAACCCTAATAGCTACTGAAACTTAATACATATTAACAGTTACAAAGCATTGTGAAATTGCACGAACTGTACAGGAGTACTCTGATGAAACCATATTTTGCTTATCCACTCTACAGTTGGACCGAATTTATTTAATATATACATGACGTTCGATTATTTATTTTTAACACTAATTTCGAAATGATCCACTTGCATGACCTAGACTAATTTCCAATTTCACCGCTGTTGTTCATGGTATTTCAATTCTCACTACTTGAGAGTGTACTAATCTGTAGGATTAAGAACCGTATGGGGCCTAGGTGAAATTCACCATAGCAAATGGTTACTAATGACTGCCTTTTTGCCAGCATAGGTATGCAAATGAATACCAGTGGATCAGAGCTTCATATTATCAGCGAACGGAGCAAATTTCAAGTAAATAATATTTCGACTTTAACTGCACTCATGATTGGCTGTAACGTTCAGCCCAAAATGCAGGCTAACCTTGACAAAGAGGAACAATATGTGGAGTTGAATTTGCTTCCATCTGTTTACTGTTCCTTACGTTTTGCTTAGCATGTGCAATACGCAAACTAGTTTCTATTAAATATCAATACTACATAGCTGCACACATTCAGAGCAACGATTCCGCTGCACTGGTTAAGTAGTGGTCACCGTATGTTCTGAGTCCACTTACCTGTGTGAATTTCCTGATTGATTCCAAGAAGGTTCTCAAGTAAAGAATGTTCTTCCATTGTTACTGTTCGGAGGAATTAAACACACAGCGAAATGTAGCCTGTGGGTAACAACATAATTAAAGCTGGCAAGCAAAAATTAACAAGCCGACGGCTATCATGCTCAACATTGATTCTAATGCGACGCATCCGGTTCATAGGTTTTGCAGGCAAATGTTAGTTGCTTTAATTATATGATGGACTGCGGATCTAGCTAGGCTACATTGGCCGCATATATGCAGTCGAAAATTGCAGTGAAGTACTGATCTCGTATTTCAAGCGTTATTTATGCGCTACTTATAGTACAGCCTTAGATAAATACATTACTATTCAGAGCAATTTGGCATGCCCTTTATATGCAACCGTTGTATCCACATTTCTCAACAATGCGTCGTCAATATTTGGTCGGCAATTTTGTACGAACGTGGAGTGCTACTTTATTGCGCACCTAGGAGCCAGTGGGCCAAGCAAAACGAACAGTGCAAATGCTGCACCCCTACACAGGGCCCTTTCATAACAGCGAAATACAGTGCTTAGTTGTTTCACTTTCTGGCGTAACCACGCTGCCTGAACACTTCGTGAAACATAAACAACCTCTTTGTTGCTGGTTTATTGTCTTCGGGGGTACATGCAGCACCCCAGTAGAACATTCGACGGGGAGTGTCACTGATCTCTCAGTAGGTCACCAGGTTATTTTTCGCTCACATCTTCCTATCACCTCTAAACTAACGGCTCTGTCAAAACACTTGTTATTATGCCCTCAGCAGCAAGACTACAGCTGTGTGTGAGATTTTGACTAACTGCCATAAATGGAGATTCGTCAGATGTTAGCACGTTTAGTTATTTCGTTGAGGTAAGCAAATCACACTGGTGCTTGTATTTGCAAGCCTGAAAAGATTCTGGAAGCATGCACTGGTAATTATGTTGGCATATTGTACATAGGTATCCCTGTGATTGCCGTTCTTGTCACGAATCCTGTAGTGAAAACGTTAACGCAGATGATATCGCTAACCGCTTCACTTCGCACGCGATGAGTAGTTAATAAGTTACACCAAAGCCAGCGTAAGTCTTAATTGAACTGAAATAAAGCACATATGTCAGGTGAATTGAATCGTCCGATTTATCGCAAAATCAGTGTGGATTATTGTGGCCGTTCAAACAAATTCGCTGTTTTGGGCAATTGGTAAGAAAGTGACTTTGGTGTAATCTGTTGACGGTGTCTGCGCAAATGCTTTCAAGTCAGCTAGTCAAATGAATGCCCAAAATCTCACTAGACTTACGACCCTTTACTCTGCAACTTACATAAATTACATGGCAATGGAGGATGCGAAGTGCCATATCCCAGTCATCTAGCAAATCAGGCTTGTCCAACGCTGTCCCCCACGGCTAAGTAGCGTAAGCAGGTGATTTATGAAATAAGCCACTGTTGGTCATGGGTTCGATTCCTGATTAAGCCAATGGATTTGCAACACTGAGTAGACCCAAATGGCGGGAATGGTGTTCTATCATTTTCGAGACACATGGAAGACTACCTGACGTGGAACCCAATGCGAAGAAATCTCAAGCAATGACAAGCAGATAATTCTTGCTGGATCCATGGTCAGCAATAGCATGTTGCGCAGGTTTTAGAAGATATAGGTTGTTAAGACTGCGCTTCCCAGCTTTCAAACGTGATAACTATTGATCTCAGGGACATGCTACCATACTGATTGTTGACAGACCTGAACCGAAAATGGGTTAAAACATAAGCTGTAAAAGACAAACATATTTTACACTATATATATTCGGTCTATTTTTCAGAACATAATTAAAAATTAATTTGCGAAACGTGTAGTTTATGGGTGACATCTATCAAACGAATATTAATCCGGTCCCTTTATGCTAAAAAAGTACTTAGTTTTAAAATTCGCTGACCCTAATGCACGTTTCTTTGAGGATATCGTTAAAGGAGCCATATCTCAACACTTATAGGAGCCACTAAATGTTTTTCACTAGTTTGAGAATCATCTTTGGGTACAACAATTTTTTCTACTTTGGCTGTCGAGGTGAATAGTAGAATTTCGCCAAAACGTACGACAATCTTATGTCTTACAAATTCCTGTCTTCATAATATATCAAACTTACACTTTGTTTGGTTCACGAAGTCAAATGCTGTAAGCAACAGAGTTTCCTGTCGGGCTAATACGCCTGATGAAGCGGAATGAAACAGCAGCTGCGAATTAATATTAAGGACAATTTCTTCTTATAAAAATGAATCTTAGTTGTCTTAAACATTTGAATGAATACATCACAGTGAGCTGGTCACCTCGTATTTGGGCCTGATATATACACGCAGAAATGTTTCATTACTTGCAATATCGCTGGTTACAAAGGATTTAAATAGGTCGAACAACCATACATACAAACATATTGAAGGAAGACAAAGTATGTGGGGAAAACGGTGTTACTTGTACTGACCAGACAAAATATGTCGTCACACGCTAACAAACGATGTAAGTTGGACAGCTAAAGCATTGCAATCCGACTGTGAATTACTGTATGCAATTTTGATGTCTGTTCTAAGGAACAACATAACTCATGGGCGAAAGTCTGTTATTTTCAATTACGTTGGTTGCTTAAAAGCCAGTTTGTATTTTACGGGCATTCCCAATGATTGACTTAAGTTGGGGCAATGAAATATAATTACAGCACATATTATATATTTGCTCATTTCACTGAGTCATACTCCTTCACGTTGATCCACAAACACGTCATTATATTCAACCGAGTGCGTCCAAATACAGAAGAGAAGGCAACAAATCGTTTAGATGCTGCACAATGTTGTGGCTCACCTGTTATGTAGGATTCGATATACAGCCGCAAACTGGACAACAATGTGCTTGTGTGTTCAGCAGCTAAAGAAAATTAAGCAAGAGGATTATCAGCTTGGAGAGGAAGCCTTTGGTAAAAGCACAACCACTAAGCGGAATAATTAGAGAGGTGATTTGGATACGGATGCGGGTTCATCAACTATGTCTAATAGAATAAATATTTTTCGTAAGAAAATCCAATAGCTGTGCAGTCTGAGTGTCATGCGTTTTGTTCGCTGGTTTCCTGTCAGCCACTATTCCGTTATCATCTCTCACCTGTGTCCCGTCAACGGTAAAAATACCACTGAGGGTTTTCTCTCAACTTAAAGAGATCCCATCTAAAGAGTTCAGAAGCAAATGCTGAATCGTCAAATGATTTCGCCATGTACGTTGGTCCGCATAATAGCAATTTATGTTTGATTACGTTGTACGTCACTTATATGCCGTTACGATTACTTATATCAATTGGAGAAGGTAAGTATTAGTTGCGTCACTAGACGCTTAGGCAAGTTGCTATTTCTGCGATTTTCCGTAGATTAGCTGCGAAGTGCCTCCATGAAATTCACTTTATCTTCGAGGTTGAAAGAACGATTCTGTGAAATATGGATCACAGTTGATATGTACGTGCAGCTAGTTGGTAGGATGGTTCATTCCTAGGGCAGTGTCAAAGGACATGTGAAGTTAACTTGAAGTACATTGATAAACTCCACGGGAAGTGAATTGCTAATGAGTAAGCATTCCCAGGCATACATAGACTAAGTGAAGCTATAAACCAGTCAGCAATCTGAACAGCTCCAAGTCGTCGCAACCGAAAGGCCATGCGGGAAATAAGACTGGGTGTTGATACTTCTCCAAGAACAGGTTACTCGTAAAAATAAGTAATCATATGCTGAACACAAATAGCCCCTACAGTCTTATGTGTGAGTTTGCGCGTTCATTGACGTTGTCCGCTAGACTTACACATATTCGGCATTGTCAATGATGCCATTTTTTGGAGGAATACATCCGAGAGTTCTTCGGACCCTGTAACACGCAACATAACAAGGCATTCGTTAAGCAGATTTGCCATTAAAGTTGTTTGTTCGTAAATATAGACCAATGTTATTTTACGTATAATGCGTCCAATTTCACACCAAGAGTTTGTTATTTCAGACAGTAGATGGTCGCAGGTTGGATAACGAACGCTAGCATTTGTTTTATCCTTGGAGCAATAAATATATTTATATGAAGATATACTAAGCAGAATGTACCGAAATTACTGTGACCGAACTGTTCATTTCCACGAGGCATATTGTGGAATAAAGATTGACCATAAAAATATTTTGCTAGCAAATGTTAGTATGTTACAAAAAATGCATATAAACAATCTTCAGTTTTTTGGTTGTTATTAAAGCCTTGATTCAATGGAGCAATTTTACTTGAATTGCATTAGCTTATAAATCCAGCCCTTGCTTTCTTAACAACTTGTAAAGTAATTATAACTTCCCAGCAACGTTAAAACAGCGTCTCGTAAGTTACCTAGCAAGTAGCTTGTGTACACAGGTGATCATCATTTATGTCTGGGTAGCACAAGTATTCAGTCCATTGTACTCAAGGACAAAATTTATGTAACCTGCAAAACATTTACCCTCAGTTATCTATTTTCCACAGAAGAGGGAATCTGTGTCTAAGTATCGACACCAAATGCATCCACAGTGTTTGCAACCAGATTTGTAAAATCCCATAATTCATCCAAAATTTGTTTAAAATAACAAGTCTTTTCTTAACCTTAGCAATCGAAGAGTAGTATTTTAAACAACAAAGGAATAAGCTAAAGAAAGGTCGCTTGATAGTGCATACAAATAAAGACTGTCTACTTTTGATTTGTATAATTGCAGCCGTTTAAAATGCTTGCAAATCTATAATTGTCCGTGCAACTTCTGAACGACAGCTTAGGTCCACTAACCTAGCGTTCAATTAGGCTAGATGTACTTTTCGCGAACTGAAATTAAATGGTACCAATGGACTGTGGAATATAACCTATCAATTGATTAATGCCTCTAAGAGTGTCAGCCTTCATTAAACAAAATAGTATAAGTCAACATGGATCAGTTGTTTAATAGCCAAATATTTGAAATTTTAGAAATATAACAAGCTACGTCTGGCACTGTTCAAAGCACGTGGGTGCGAAATCAATGTTTACTTGATCTCATGAACTGTTTGGAGTGTAGGTACCTGAGAACAACTGCAATACTTAAATGGTTGATTCGGATCTTAGTATTCCACGCTGGGTGAGAAATGAGGTCTATTTGACTGCATTATTCAGCTATGGACACTTGGATAAAATTAAATAATTATCCTCCTGGACCAAGCGCGGGATAAATCTGACACCTGTTGCACTTTACATGGTAAAGCTAACATCAGATGACAAGTCGATCCAGGATAGTTTTTGTGTAGCTTGGAATTGTGAAGCAAAGTTGGTAAGGTGAAACCCTCAATGCAATTAAATTATTGAGCTGTCAGAATAAATTGCCAAAATTGCAGTGTCAAGCGAAACTTCAGTTAATCAGAACCAATGGTCAGTGGAACCAGGAAAATTCCGAACCGCCGAACTATCGGTCGCCATTAGAGTTCTTTTGTGCATTTATTCTTGACGCGGACAACAGAGCAGTAGCCGAAGAAAGTGCATCACCATGTCTGGTCACAAGAATAGCTTCCGCACTTGAAACAGTCAAATGTAGTTGAGGGATTAGACCTCATTTCAATCTGATTTCCCATAATTCAAATAAATGAAGTAAAACATCTGAAGTTAACCAACTCCATATCCCGACCACATTTCCTTGTCGACCGACTAGTTTCTGCTGCTGGAACCTTCACCATGTAACCCCTACGTATTTAGAACACTGTTTGTTAACCAACTAAATATGGGAACCCCGTGACCCAGTTCCGTGAACGGTCAAGTTAAAGAGGTTTAACTCTTTATGTTCTTCAAAGCGAATTTGGCGAAATGAACAACGGATAAATCTTAAGGCCTACCTTTGGCTACCTGCACCCAAGTTTGTAGCATGGCGTCGTAATCCGCAGAGTTAAATTGAGAATCTGAAAAGCCAAACGTGAAAACATTATGAGGTCACATTTTGTGACTTTTCGCATTATAGAACAAGAGGATTGGAATTCGAGGTAGGTGAAAATTTAGATACTAGCAAGTGGAACTGCAATTGAAATATTCCCACTTAACAAGGCTTATTTCATAGATCTATCGGTCGCACTACACCAGATTGCTTTGCAATCCTTGGGGTTTCATCCCTAAGGAGTATACTTCGTACCAGCCAGAAACCACTGCAAGTAACGTGCCTTAGAAATTGAATGACCAAATGCAAAATCCTCTATTAAAATAGAAGACTTACTCGAATGTCTGCTGAGGATTTCAGCCACAGACTTGTAATTTTTGTTGTTGATTTCCTCCAACACTGGAAAAGCATTCAAGATGATAAATGTAATTAATGAAAGCAAGAAAGTTGAATTAACTACGCATCGTTAGTGAACTGCAGTGATGCAAGTTTCGCGTTGCCTAATATAAAGTAGCGGTATTGTTGTTATTCGTCCACTGCTTTTGCTAAATAAGCCAGAGAGGAATATAGCAACAATGTTCTGTAACAATTTGAGAAACGCAGTTGGAACAGGTGTGAGTTTAGTGATATTAATTTCTCTAGTATGTTCATGCGTGTAATATATGGTAATAATATATTTGTATTATTTTAGAAGTAATGAATTTGTGTTTTACTAAGTCAGTATAGTTTGGAAATAAACGAATATGCATGCAGGATAACTTCGGCATCTATTGAATAAAATGATAATGGCATTATGCGACCACATCCTTGTTCTACAAAGGAACACATCGCAATTTAGCATCGGTTTCCAGATGAGCATATAGTTATCCATCGCGCAAGTTAACAAGCATGCGTAAGAAACTGGCCCGGAAAACGGCAACTAGGACTTATTATCTGGACAAACGTGTTGACCACAAGTAGCTTAAAATTCTTCGGCCAAGGAAAATAAGAAACGTAGAATTCTACGCAGCATTCTACTCAGAGGTGTTAAACGCAATTGATGTTTACTTGCTCAAGCAGAATAGTTTCGGTTTTGGTCTTACATTGCAAAAGACTACCGTCTGACAAACGAGACACCTGAATCCAAAGTTAATTGAACGCAGGACCTTTTATCTTGGCACAAACTCTCGCTCCGCCCTGTGTTGGGAACGACCACACAGATATAACCCTGCGAGGACTTATGATTATTTTAATACTTCTGCCGTCATCCTTCAGTGCATATAACCTGTGGACAAGTAACTTTTATTTCATGGGGCTCAACATGAAATACACAATTTGTCTCATGTATATTAGATTTAACGTGTAAATATGGAGTACTTGTTTTGAGCATGGAAAGAAAAAGTAGCGGCTTTAGTCCCAAATGTGGTTCCCATGTGCGTATGCAGTCAGCAGTGTGCTCGCCCAACAGAATTTAATGCCATTCACGTTCCGGTTGACCAAAAGATTGCGCCACACTGAGGTACTCATAAAAGCAGTAGGTCAAGCATACCGCCTCAGTGACTTGGCCCAGGAAACGATCAACATCTACATGAACTTTCTTAAATTGCTGTAGAAAATGGCTAAGGTATACAATTTAAAAAACCGACATGCATTCGAAGCCCTTATCTAAATCTTTAAGAGTGTAAAAGTTACACACTTCTGATTATGAAGTTATGGTATGAAGTTGCTAGATTAAACATTCACGCTCGCGAGTTCAGTTATCACCGCTTTCTGAGCAGCGAGACAATTCGATGCTGTTGAAAACCAGCTGTTATACACCTCGGAGTCTGGGGTTTAGCAGATTCCCTTGGAACCGCATAATTTCAGTTTGATGATGGGCTTACATCATACGTTGTATATTGTCATAGCAGAGGATGACAATGAAAACTGATTCGACCATGATTGTAAGTAACTAATCAACGGCCCGTCACGAAAGTACCATACGATGGGTAAGCAAATATCTTCATGTTAGCAAAAACGCCATTATCTAAACGCCACTTGCTTATTGATTTTATCACCTGCCTGTGATAGAACACATCGATAAAAATGAAAAATTGCGTGTATGAAGAAAAATTATGAGTAAGCGTGGCAAAATAAATAGGTGCTGTTGATTAGTTGATATGTACACCGAGCACGTTGCTCATGTTGTACTCACTTTTCACAAAGTAGCGGGCCCCCTGTGTAAGCATTTTGATAGCGTCGTACAAGTAACCGGATTCTAGGAGTAGTAAAAACAAGAGCACACACAATATCAAAACATCACGTGCCATCATTTTTGGAGTCGCTCAGGCATACTTAGAGTGGAACATAGTTTAAAATATTCTGTCTAAAGGCGCGAATAAAACTGAGAAAATTTGTGATGTTGATTTCAATCCATGCTGCATTTTCACCTGCAACATAAAAATTAATAGTCCGCCCACAGCACAGTTATGCGATTAGCTGCGAACAGACATTCGGGCTGGTGCACGACAACCATCTACATAATCATAAGGATAGTCACACAAAAATCCCATGGCATAATGTTGCTGGATTCACCTTGCAGCATTTTGATACTAGAATAACTTGTTTAGGGCGCATGTAGTTTATTTGAAATTGGAACGGAGCAAAGTAAAGTCAGTAGCGTATGCACTGAATACCTATGTGATGAACAAAGTACTGCTCAGACTAGTCTTACAGAACAGACTTCGTCAAGTAGAACTTGGGATTATGCAATAGGAAACCTTCGAATCTTCCGCGTGCCTTAGCTTACGCATGAGGATGGGTAAAGGTCACTAACAGTCTTCATTTAATCAACATTGCGAACTACCAGAACAGAGAAAAATGATAATTGTCGCATGATTAGGGTAGAAGGAGCACTATTCCCTTCGTCAGCGAAATAACTAGTCATGTGAACATACCATGTTGAGGCGTTATTGACTCTGAAATAAAGAACAAGCGAGCACAGGATTACACACAACAGTGCCATAAGTAATGGAATCAATACAAAGTCATTAATTCCTCTTTCCATCTCTCCGAATATATTTTGATTACAGTAAAACCTAGTAGTCAACAGTAACCGACAAATGGTATGCTTGGCCGAAAACGATGTTATTCCTTTAGTTATTTATTTACGGATATGATACTAATTTCATTGGTATTTTATTTGCATTAATTGCGTAGGGAGAACCTTTTCCAAGTGTTTCATAGGACAATATGCTGAGATGAGAAACAGCTTACAGATCGGGTATTTAACTGGTCGCTAGCGAGCAATTTCGTTTCTCTGTGAATGGCTATAGACGACTCGCATATATGCAGCACCAGGTTAATGCATTTACTAAGTCCTATTCTAGACATTATCATTTAACCTTATGGAACATCCATACCTCAGTCGTTATGACGCTGAGAAGCAATTTTTAGCTTGTAACAATATGGTTGGCTTTGCTGCTTAGTAGTTTTCCTTTTACAACGCAAAATGAATCTATAATTGTTGATGGCATAATGGGTACCCCAGTCTATTTGATTTTGGGGAGGTGTATCGGTGCGTTGAGGTACACATTATGCACCGTCATGCTTGATGTTCATGGTGCTATTAACATGGGGATAAATTAATAGTATAATGTTAAACTGGTACTTACCGCTCTTTTTGGGATGCTTAGTGCTGCTGCTGTCTGTAAGGGTGACGAGAGAAAAGCGATGATTTATAACCGAAATGTTGCGAGAAATACCCATTTTCTATTGCGGAAAATAAGCAACTGCGAGTGTTGCATTCCGCCGAAGTAAAGGAAGTGTTACGTATGATCCACACTACGAACAAAAATCCCGAAAAAGTGCGCTTAATTCGAGCAGCTTGCATAGCTTACTGCTACATTGTTGTAGGAGATATACCACAATAGCAGTTAAACAAGCACTAAACATTCAAAATGGTGCAGGACAGATATTCCATCATTCTGCGAATCATCAGCATTGCGCATCCGGTATCTGACAAGTGATATTAGAAGTAGCAACCCTACTCTCAAAAGCCGGGATTATGATGTTCCTCGTGTTATCTCCTACAGGAATTCTAAACTGCAATAGTAAGCGTGAAATTTAGCTTGTCTATAAGTCCCTTGACAATGCTGTTTAAGTCTAGAGGACGATGACAAATGTAGAGTTGCTGATGACAACTCAGCTTTCTGGTACAAGTTGAGCGAATAATATGTGTTTCCAGGGTCGAGTACTTTGCATTCTATGCATCTCATCCGATTCGATATTTTGCACAGGGACTGCTTCACATTTACCCCTACATCATTCATGCCAATCACCAACTTCGGGATGCCGTAGGGATAATTATTAGCAAACAAATAGAGCATGATTATTCGACTTTTAACATGGGGCACGTGTTGTGGGCAAGGGTTGTGGCCTAATTTATGCACTCTAAGTTACACCATGCATCACTCCACTATGCGTGATGTCCGTTACGTAATGTAGTGAAAGCATATAAACTGCTAGGTAAGTTGTCTGTTCAACTTAAATCTGATAAAGCAACTTTAACAAACTACTAAGTAACCTGTACTATTTGCGGAATCGTTCTTTCAACCTCGAAGATAAAGTGAATTTCATAGAGGCACTTCGCAGCAAATCTACGGAAAATCGCAGAAATAGCAACTTGCCTAAGCGTCTAGTGACGCAACTAATACTTACCTTCTCCAATTGATATAAATATTCGTAACGGCATATAAGTGACGTACAACATAATCAAACATAAGTTGCTATTATGCGGACAAACGTACATGGCGAAATCAGTTGACGATTCAGCATTTGCTTCTGAACTCTTTAGATGGGATCTCTTTAGGTTGAGAGAAAACCCTCAGTGGTATTTTTACCGTTGACGGGACACAGGTGAGAGATGATAACGGAATAGTGGCTGACAGGAAACCAGCGAACAAAACGCATGACATTCAGACTGCACAGCTATTGGATTTTCTTACGAAAAATATTTATTCTATTAGACATAGTTGATGAACCCGCATCCGTATCCAAATCACCTCTCTAATTATTCCGCTTAGTGGTTGTGCTTTTACCAAAGGCTTTCTCTCCAGGCTGATTATTCTCTTGCTAAATGTTTTTAGCTGCTGAACACACAAGCACATTGTTGTCGAGTTTGCGGCTGTATATCGAATCCTACATAACAGGTGAGCCACAACATTGTGCAGCATCTAAACGATTTGTTGCATTCTCTTCTGTATTTGGACGCACTCGGTTGAATATAATGACGTGTTTGTGGATCAACGTAAAGGAGTATGACTCAGTGAAATGAGCAGATATATAATATGTGCTGTAATTATATTTCATTGCCCCAACTTAAGTCAATCATTGGGAATGCCCGTAAAATACAAACTGGCTCTTAAGCAACCAACGTAATTAAAAATAACAGACTTCCGCCTATGAGTTATGTTGTTCCTTAGAACAGACATCAAAATTGCAAACAGAAATTCATAATCGGAGTGCAATGCTTTAGCTGTCCAACTTACATCGTTTGTTAGCGTGTGACGACATATTTTGTCTGGTCAGTACAAGTAACACCGTTTTCCCCACATACTTTGTCTTCCTTCAATAAGTTTGTATGTATGGTTGTTCGGCCTATTTAAATCCTTTGTAACCAGTGATATTGCAATCAATGACACATTTCTGCGTGTATACATCAGGCCCAAATACGATGTGACCAGCTCACTGTGGTGTATTCATTCAAACGTTTAAGGCAACTCAGGATACATTTTTGTAAGAAGAAATTGTCCTTAACATTAATTCGCAGCTGCTCTTTCATTCTGCTTCATCAGGCGTATTAGCCCGACAGGAAACTCTGTTGCTTACAGCATTTGACTTCGTGAACCAAACAAAGTGTAAGTTTGATATATTATGAAGACAGAAATTTGTAAGATATAATATTGTCGTATGTTTTGGCGAAATCTTACTATTCACCTCGACAGCCGAAGTAGAAGAAATTGTTTTACCCAAAGGTGTTTCTCAAACTAGTGAAAAATATTTAGCGGCTCCTATAAGTGTTGAGATATGGCTCCTTTAACGATATCCTCAAAGAAACGTGCATTAGGGTCAGCGAATTTTAGAACTAAGTACTTTTTTAGCATAAAGGGAACGGATAATTATTCGATTAATAAATGTCACCCATAAACTACACGTTTCGCAAATTAATTTTTAATTATGTTCTGAAAAATAGACCGAATATATATAGTGTAAAATATGTTTGTCTTTTACAGCTTATGTTTTAACCCGTTTTCGGTTCAGGTCTGTGAACAATCAGTATGGTAGCATGTGCCCGAGATCAATAGTTATCACGTTTGAAAGCTGGGAAGCGCAGTCTTAACAACCTATATCTTCTAAAACCTGCACCACATGCTATTGCTGACCATGGATCCAGCAAGAATTATCTGCTTATCATTGCTTGAGATTTCTTCATATTGGGTTCCAAGTCAGGTAGTCTGCCATGTGCCTCGAAAATGATAGAACACCATTCCCGCTATTTGGGTCTACTCAGTGGTGCAAATCCATCGGCTTACTTAGGAATTGAACCCATGATCACTAGTGGATTGTATCATAAATCACCAGCTTACGCTACTTAGTCGTGGGGGACAGCGTTGGTCAGTTAAGGGTTGCTAGCTAACTGGGATATGGCACTTCGCATACTCCATTGCCATGTAATTTATGTAAGTTGCAGAGTAAATGGTCGGACGTCTAGTGAGATTTTGGGTATTTATTTGACTAGCTGACTTGAAAGCATTTGCGCAGACACCGTCAACAGATTACATCAAAGTCACTTTCTTTCCAATTGCCCAAAACAGCGAATTTGTTTGAACGGCCACAATAATCCACACTGATTTTGCGATAAACCGGACGATTCAAATCACTTGACATATGTACTTTATTTCAGTTCCATTAAGACACGCTGGCTTTGGTGTAACTTATTAACTACTCATCGCGTGCGAAGTGAAGCGGTTAGCGATATCATCTGCGTTAACGTTTTCATTACAGGATTCTTGACAAGAACGGCAATCACAGGGATACCTATGTACAATATGCCAACTTAATTACTAGTGCATGCTTCCAGAATCTTTTCAGGCTTGCAAATACAAGCACGAGTGTGATTAGCTTACCTCAACGAAATAACTAAACGTGCTAACATCTGACGAATCTCCATTTATGGCAGTTAGTCAAACCCTCACACACAGCTGTGTTCTTGCAGCTGAGGGCATAATAACAAGTGTTTTGACAGAGCCGTTAGTTTAGAGGTGATATGAAGATGTGAGCGAAAAATAACCTGGTGACCTACTGAGAGATCAGTGACACTCCCCGTCGAATGTTCTACTGGGGTGCTGCATGTACCCCCCGAAGACAATAAACCAGCAACAAAGAGGTTGTTTATGCTTCACGAATTGTTCAGGCAGCGTGGTTACGCCAGACAGTGAAACAACTAAGCACTGTGTTTCGCTGTTATGAAAGGGCCCTGTGTAGGGGCGCAGCATATACACAGTTAATTTTGCTTGGCTCACTGGCTCCTAGGTGCGCAATAAAGTTTCACTCCACGTTTGCACAAAACTGCCGACCAAATATTGACGACGCATTGTTGAAACAATGTGGATACAACGGTTGCATATAAAGGGCATGCAAAATTGCTCTGAATAGCATTGCACTTCTCAAAGACCGTATTAAAAATAGCACACCAAATAGCGCTTGATTTACGAGATCCGTACTTCACATAAATTTCCTTTCGGATTACCTGCTGCCCTTAAAGCCCAGCTAGATACGCAGTCCATCATATAATTAAAGCAACTAACATTTGCCTGCAAACCCTATGAACCGGATGCGTCGCATTAGAATCAATGTTGAGCATGATAGCCGTCGGCTTGTTAATTTTTGTTTGCCAGCTTTAATTATGTTGTTACCCACAGGCTACATTTCGCTGTGTGTTTAATTCCTCCGAACAGTAACAATGGAAGAACATTCTTTACTTGAGAACCTTCTTGGAATCAATCAGGAAATTCACACAGGTAAGTGGACTCAGAACATACGGTGACCACTACTTAACCAGTGCAGCGGAATCGTTGCTCTGAATGTGTGCAGCTATGTAGTATTGATATTTAATAGAAACTAGTTTGTGTATTGCACATGCTAAGCAAAACGTAAGGAACAGTAAACAGATGGAAGCAAATTCAACTCCACATATTGCTCATCTTTGTCAAGGTTAGCCTGCATTTTGGGCTAAACGGGACAGCCAATCCTGAGTGTAGTTAAAGTCGAAATATTATTTACTTGAACTTTACTCCGTTCGCTGAAAATATGAAACTCTAATCCACTGGTATTCATTTGCATACCTATGCTGGCAAAGAAGGCAGTCATTAGCAGTCATTTGCTATGGTGAATTTCACCTAGGCCCCATACGGTTCTTACTCATACAGATTAGCACACTCTCAAGCAGTGAGAATTGAAATACCATGAACAACAGCGATGAAATTGGAAATTAGTCTAGGTCATGCAAGTGGATCATTTCGAAATTAGTGTTAAAAATAAACAATCGAACGTCATGTATATATTAAATAAATTCGGTCCAACTGTAGAGTGGATAAGCAAAATATGGATTCATCAGAGTACCCCTGTGCAGTTCGTGCAATTTCACAATGCTTTGTAACTGTTAATATGTATTAAGTTTCAGTAGCTCTTAGGGTTAACATTTTTATGTATATATATATATATATATGTATCTATACAACCAGATGAATGTTCTTATTCCAATAGTATATTTAGCCTCCATTTATGATTCGATAACGACTAATGAGTCGCAGTAGGCTTGAAGAGCTTTCTTTTCTTTTATCAAATAATCTAGCCCCCTGCCAACTTCAGTACAATGAAACTACCTCGATCAACATCTGCCTGATATTCACATTCCCAAACACTACGTGTAGCTTCAATCACATGAACTACAAAAGTTGTCTAAGCAAAAATATCAGAATTTTACTGCTTAGTGGTCATTAAACCAAGAGAACTTAAGAGGTAAAACAACACAATGCTTCTCAATTTATCTCTGACATGTTCGTGTTGCTAAGCTAGGGTAGGTCAGCGACAAAAAAATTCGCAAAATCAGTATATATATTGGTTCACAACGTGGCATTGCAAATTCACTTTTCACTGTGAGAAACAAAATGGCTTTGATATATAGGGATCAGTTAAAATTATTTTCCAACTGATGTGTGCACCTCTCATCTTTTATCAGACTCGTTCAAAACAATGAACACATATGTGATATTGATCGATCGTTTGGCGGATGTTTCTCAAAGTGAGTGAGCTTTTAACTAGTAAGCTGGCTACTTAAGTGTGACAGCAAGTAATGCTTTAGTTATGTCCACGACAAAAATAATGAATGGGAAGAAGTCGTAAATTATCTCTCCACCTGAATTTACTGGCAATGATCTGTTAGAATAGACATATGTGCTTCCAGATTTCCTCCCAATACCGGTATGAATTCTGTCATTAGGATAACATAAGTCGAGAATGTATCAGAGCTTGCCGGCAATTTGTTTAACCAGTTCAACTTATTTTTCCTTAAAAAAATCAAAGGCGTATGCTTTCTGTGCCCAAATTAAAATCAAATTATACTGTTTTCGTAATTCACTGGGGTATTCTTTTACCACGTTTTTGTAAAACTAAGGTACGGGGCCAATTGTCGCTTTGTCTACCACATTTGGCGGAATGGTTAATGTATGCTGATATAGCGCAATGCTTTTGATTAGGTCGCAATTGATGCAAGCGAAAATCCAGTCTAAATGCTACTACTTTAGCAAATGAATATTGGGCATTGTTCACCTGATTTTGAATCGTAATACATTCGCGCAACCAATGGTTAAAAATGGCCCAATTGTCAGTCATTAGTCTGTGCGGCAACTTTTGCCCGCCATGACCCTGTGGCTAGATTGGTTTTACCTTTGGCTGACAGCCAATGGGCTCCGATTTTGAGTCTCTTCGGTCTCTGCCTGATGGGATAAATCAGTTTGAAGCCTGTCATGCAGTGCAGCGTTTTCGGGTGGGCAACACATGCCAGCTTCATCAGTTACGGTCCCAGTGGTTGATTTGACTGAGGATCTGTTAATGTGAATCGCCTTCCACACGATTACTTAAAAGAGACCCAATATGTTGAATAGAAACACGGATTGCCGTTAATTTTAATCTAAATTATCCACCGTTGAGAATACGTAGAAATATATGTTGCCTTGTGATGTCATTGTTTTATCATCTGATGGGTTTAAATTTTGCAGGTTCGCGTTGACGGTATTTCCAACAAAGTCAAATGATTACATCTAAAACCGGTTCCAATGGATAGTTCGGAGCAATATTTTTCTTCTATAATAAAAACTGCAAGTTTGTCGACAAAAGTTCCTTTTTACTGCTTCAGCTTTAACTGACTGGTCCTTTCTCCTGAGGCCACGTGTAGGGTGGCGCTAGAGTTTTCCACTACAAATATTGACAAGCATTTATTCTTCCTGCATGCCGAGTAACCCGTGATATGTTACCAGAATACATTCTCTGCACAGACTTGCCCAGTACTTTGGAGGTTGCAAGGAGGTGCAACACAGAGAACCTATCACTTCTGGTCCAGGCTTGTTGATGCTAATAACCGAGGTCCGCTATAAAGTAAATCGAATATTTAAGATAGATTGTGCATGGCGACCTAATCGCACCTAGGTCGTAGTGTAGGCTGTACTTCTACTGAAGACATCGTGCCAGAAAAATCGTGGCGTGCTTGCATTTAGAAAACTAAACTAAGCAGAAATCGCGATAGTAGTGTGCATTCCAGTCCTCCATCGTCAATGCGAATCAATTGACCTAATGCAGTTGTACACACTATGAAACACTTGTCAAGAATCTAGGATAAATGTGTACCATCGCAACAAATTCACGGATTTCTGTTCAAAATCATGCTTGATGAGTGGTGTTTAGTGTGCCTTAGCCCCATGGTGGTAACATTTGGAAGCGGAAACAGGCAAACCATGGTTCACTCAAGTAAATGCTGCATAGTACGTGACCTCCGGTTAGTGTTCTAATTCCCCAAATTATGTCCTCCCTTAACGAGAAATAGCTAGACGACCTTGGTCTACCAAGGCTATGGCGTAAGAAGAATAGCCCGCCTACCATGATTCCTTGTCAGACAAGTTAGAGGGGGAAATAATACATCTTAAACAGTGAGGAAATTACAGTATAAACGGACTGATTATCAAAAGGTTTGACGAACGAGGTGTAACAAAGGAAAACAAGTGATCGCACAGCTCATGCTACATAGCATGTGTTGCTGCAACTGAGTCAATGCGATCTAACTCTATAAAAACAACTGAGGACAGCGTCATGGGACGTCTTTGTGAATGAACAATACTGCAATAGGAATGTAGGCGCTCCTGTATGGACCACAATATACCTAAAGGATAACATAACTATTATGTACCTTACGCTGGAAAATTGCAGAATTTCGGTATATACCGAAACCGAGCCTCAATCTAAAGTGTATCATGATGCTAATGATTACGTTTTAATGCCATCTTTGGGAACAAGTATGCTAGTATGCAGCTCAGTCGAAGATTAAGGATCATGCTCTTTACTAACAGTCAGCACACGATGATGCTCAAACCAAAAATGAATTCAAGTGTAAGCTTTGGGCGTTGGAAATAAAATTGGGAATTAATGGCATTATTAAACTGCATGAATATGCAGCTGCGGCAATTTATCATGAGTAGCAAACCATAGAAATTCCCATGATATTGGCAGGATAATGTGAAGAATATATCGGTTGTTTTCCTAGGTGGATAAAGGAAGAAGCTGAGAGGAGAACTAATGTTAGATGTAATCAATTAAAAAAGGGCACGTTCAGGTTGTTATTCGAATGAATGTCAAAAAACGTGGCTAGCATTCACAAGATATACTGAATCCAGCTATTTTGCGTTTTCAAATAATGTATTTACAGAAATTTGTGGAATAATTAGGATGTCTATAAAAACGTCAAACTGCGATATTATAATGAAAGTTAACTCAGCTGAAAGCCACTGTGTTCACCTAACTCCGGTCAGATGACAAAAAAATCATTGAGCTGACTAGGAAAGGGCTAGATCGAACACGGTATCTCTCTCACTCTGGACAATCATGGTTTTAAATGCCGACTAACTGATGATCCAAGGAAATGTAGTTGGCATCGGTTGCATTGTTTGGTTAGTAACTGCAAGGCTACACCTGGGTTTTTGCACACAGAACATGTGACAATGGTGTTAGTGGGTTTCTCTTTGTTACTTGCCACCATGCAACGCTGGACTTGTTCTGCATTACTTGCCGTCAGCATTCTCTCAGATCTGACAGTGTACTCGAGCTCCACGTACAGTTGTATCCGCAGATGTGTAACAGAGTCTTTTGAGTATAGCTTGGATCTGCATAGAAAATATCTGGCTTACTAAATTACCACTGGCGCAGCCACGTACCAACAATTGTTAACAGATTGGCGGAGACAACACCGACATCTCCAGTCAATTTAATCCCATTTAATCCGCAGCTTAATAATTGCCATTTTTTGCGAGTACTATATTTTCTATGGTTTGCCATCTTGCGTAAGTTCTTATGAATCGCTTTGTGTATCCCTTTTATATGTTGGCGACTTGACGCGTTTCCGTTCACTGTCGATTTTATCCGGAGAGCAATGCTGAAGAAATCTGTATACAGACCAAACTATAGTAGTGTTTGTCTTCATGCGTGAAATATCATTTTAAATTAAACGGATCCTTTAATTTCGCTTATTATCGTGAGCGTGGTCGCAGGATGGCACATGTTCCTCTTTTCTGGTAGGTATACCGCATGATTATTTTTGACATACAAGACAAACTGTCCTCTAACTATTTATCATAGATTTTTGTATATTCTGCAGCTAAAAATGGGTTTAATTTACTACCTTTGGCAAAGCCGTCGATCCGTCTATAAAGGTTTCCATTGTATCGGAAATGAGTATATTTGGTATAGTCGGATAAAAGATTGAATTGGAACGCTGGGAACTTAATTTTTTACAGGTCTCTCTAACATTTATAACGAACTTTTCCAAAGGATCTTTGTGAATAATGAGCATATATTAGAAGGGATCCAAATATTTCCAAAACTTAACGTGTATCTCCCATGCTGTATCCGGAAGGTTACCTCCGGAAGCGTTAGAGAAATTTTGTCCGACATGAGGCATCTATTTTTTTACCCTGCGTCTATCAGTGAAACTACTGGGCATATGGCGGTATTTTCATTTGAGCTTTTGGTAGACGGTATCCTTCATGACGTAAAGAGCCCCGAGGGCCGAACTGTGCCAACTGTTTTCATCAAGAAGTCTTGACTACAGAATCTTCTACAATCCATTAACTATTGCATTATCTACTCGCTCGGATTCGTCGCGGTCTGCTTCATGTAGAACGCAACGGTTAGTGCAAGCAATAACCATTTTTGATTCCTTTATTTAGTCTTGTTGTTCAACTATTATTACCCCGTATCAAGTATCAGTATTACCTCATTCTTATTTTTTGCAGCTCAGTTCGTTAAAAGGCTACAATCCCTCCTTCGTTGACACTGAACTCTTTGTCTGTATCTATCATTCTAGCTCTAAACATGCCGCTTGCGTACTAGCTTATTGGTGTCCAACTAGACAATACTTAGTATAGCTGCAGAAAAAGCTCCAATCCCTAGGCTGTAACATTTATTTAGTGAAACTGCTAAGTTAAAATCCAAAGGGAAAAATTTCTTAATTGTGGCGACTCAATGAAACAACGGACGTTTTTAACCTAACTTCAGTTTATACCGGAATCCGATCGTTGAAAATTTATTGTGAAATTGAGTTCATCAATTATTTCTGGTAGTCGAAAGCGTTGTAGCAAAAGTGCATAAAGAGTGTTGAATAAGCGCTCACGGTATACACGATAGGCACATCTTATTCTGACTTTTAAGCCACAATGCAATGAAAAGATCTTTTGAGGTGCAAATTAATTAATCATCCCAAAGGTTTGTGCGGTAACTGACATACCATCCTGATGTAGTGACCTTACAAATAACCGCTGTGAGTTCACAGTACGCAGACATTCGCTGCAAACATTTGCATATATAATCTTGTGAACAATATATCTGTATGCATTCTGCACTTTGTCGAACAATGGAAATTACCAGGTGGAAGACTTTCATTTAGACATTTTGTGCGAGCAGTTTTCTGCAAGATTCTTAAATGTTGTCTCCTACTGCAATCTTGCAGTAGGAAACCACATGCGTAAACAGCATAATAATGTTGTATTTAGGCACCTAGTGCTAGGTTATTACAACTGATTGCTTTACAAGGTGAGGTTGAATGTTCCCTCTGTATGTGATTACATAGCTCCGATGAATGCAGAAGCTTTTTTGGATGTGTAACAACATTTTCGAGAGCTTGTTCAAAGGCACGTATGTGTTGATGTTTAACCTACGGATTAACGAGGAGTTTGGGCTTATTTAATTTGTTAGCAATTAGGTACGATAACTTCCTACATGTAGATTAGAATCGATTTGAGAAGATTTTGATTGATCCAGGTTAACACTATCGCTGGATCTCTTTGACACCAGTGACTTATATCGACGCGCATGTAGGGTCGAATGTTCCTTCTTCAGGCTTTTCATGCTTTTGTTGGAGGGCACGCGGGAAAGATATCGGCATTCCGTACGTTGACATGCAGCGTGACTCCGGTTGTGCGATTTCACGGTACTTGAGTGATTTGTCAAATTTTGTTCCGTATGCGGTGTTGAGAGACTGAGAGAGATATGTTAAAGACCGGATTCAAGGTCAGCGTGTGTTAAAAACCGATGACGGAGACAATGGGTGAATTTGTTTCACGCTCGGTATGGCCAAGTTTAATTGAGAAGTCGTTGTCGTGTCCTGTCTTTTAGAGTAGTAATGGTGCATGTGGAGTCAAGTGGTTGCGTAAAAACGTTGCCTTAAGAAGGTTTCATCTTAAAGCTAAAGGAATGTAAATCTAGGCTTTTTCGAATCACATTTATTGGCGGCTTTGTATCCGTCATGTTTTGTACATTCCTAAAAGCGACGTTGTTGGCAACGTAATCGCGCCTCCTACTTAACTTACATGAAGTAACAGTAACAAAGGACTTTAAAACTAAAACGCGATTAATCGCTGAGGATTTCTCTAAATTATGTTATGGTGTGCGCTATATTATTTCGTCCTCTGTTTTCAGCAGTATGCTGCTCACTGAAGCAAGTTGCTTTCTTTCTGAAAGTTGAACAAAGTTGTGTTGTTGGAGTATCGCACTCTGTTGAATATCACTTCGGCCTCTTCGTCTGTGAAGTCGACGGTGCCTTTTATATAATATTTGTTGGACCACTAGGTTTTAT